GTAATGATTTGCTCTTTGTTTGTTCCTCAAAGGATGCAGCACGCTCAGCTGTCAGATATTTCCTAGAGCTTTAAAAGGGGAGGGAAACATGTCTGCAGGGCAGCAGAGATTGAAACACTGAACAGAGTGCTCAGTGCAGGCATTGTGGGATAATGGGAGAAGCTAGTTCTGTTAACGAAACAAACAACAGTGTCTACATTGGCTCTTTGACAATAGTAAAAGGAGGGGGAAGAGTGGGAAAGAAAAAAGTCTCTCATGAAGTGGAGGATTTTTGTTGCTGAAACTGGGTGTTTTCCCCCATCAAAATTGTATTTCAGGGTGTATGCTGTCACTGTTTCATTGCCAAAATGCAGTTTTTGGTGACAAAACTTGTTACTATAGACAAAAATGTGCCTTTTTTCTTTCAACATTTAAGAGGAAGCTGAGTCTTTCTTGCTGGGGAATGGATGTCATTCTAAATTTCTTAGTTTTTTGGGCAGACTTAAAATTTGGGGGAGAAGTTACCTCAGTAAATAGCTGTTCCATTACAAAATGTTTAATATATTCTACTGCCTTCCAACACTGGACTACATTAGCTTTCAAGTTCTGTTAAAATACGCAGTTCTGAAAAAGCTCATACGGGTATGTAAACCATTTGTCCTTAGACTTCAGAGTCAGCACCCTTTATAAATGAATGAAAATATCTTAAACGTCTCTCACAATTCTTGCTTCAGGCTCTCCAGGCATCAGTTTTTTTTTCCACTAGAAGGTGATATTTACTTTTTGAATGAGAGCGTAAAATGTTGAACACAATTATGCAGCATATTTAAAGCTTTCAGCACATCACTCTGTTGTATTTAGGGGCCTCACTTATAAACTACTAGGATAAGCACACTGTCACTTCAGATATTACTGTTCCTGAATGTTCACTTTAAAATTTTTGCTTTTTGATATATGAAGCACATTTATTTAATACAATGATGTGCAATCTTGGCTACGGAGTGGGCCACATTAGAGGCCCTACTTCATCTCAGTGGGCTGCAAGATTATCACAACCAATTTGGTCTTGCTGGATAGGATAATTTTACTAATTGCACTTGCATATCTAGAATTTAGGGATGGGTGCAATGCTGGCTGCACTATAACAGTACTTTGATTGAATGCAGAAAGAGCACATGGTTCTCACAGTCAATGGCTGTGCCTATACTGTTTCTTTCTTGCGCAAAAGCCTATCCAAATGAAGCACAGATTAGTACATTGTTGTGCTTCATTTGCATAATTAATTAGGGTCAATGAGGTAGAATGGCTCTTGCGCAAGAGTTTTTTGTGCAAAAATGGCCCCTAATGAATTATGCAAATGAAGCACAGCAATATGCTAATCCGTGCTTCATTTGCATACGCTTTTGCGCAAGAAGAAAGCAGTATAGACGTAGCCAATATTGTGTGCAATCTGCATGCACCTCACTTCATGTGCCCTTTCTTTATGTGCATGTCACTTTAGTAACAATAGTAGGAAAATGACTACACAGACAGAAACCAGTGGAATCTGGCAAACCTGCGTGTGGGTAACAACAAACAAAATGTCTTGCAGGCAATACCAGAATGCCAATGGGTCGTATGCAGCCCAGGGCCACAGGTTGCCCCCCACTGATTTAATAGTGTTTAAATACATTTTTTAAATATTCCAGTTTATTTAAAAGGTTGTAAATTAAACCAGACAATCTCAAACCTGATATCGCATTACTGGATACCACCCTACAATGCATTAGTATTTATTATTTAAATGTAAATTATTCAGTGAGTCAGTTTATGGAATATTTAATGAAATGCTATATTTTTAACAGCTTTTGTAAGTACTAAGGGTAAATTTTTTAAAGTCATTGAAATTTAGGCTCCTTATTACATAAATCACTTTTGAAAATGGAACCTAAATTCCTTTAGCATAATGATACTTTGAAAAATTTACCCAAAATATGATGTCCACTACATTCTTTTGAGACAATAATTCTGTGATTATTTTGAAAATTACAATAATAGCATATAAATATTAATTTTGATAACATTTAGTAATTCTTTCTCTGCAGACAAATCCTGAAATTCAGTCACTGTTTATGGGAATAGATATATTATGCAAAAAGTATTCAAAAGAAATTACACTGGTAAGTCCTACGAAACTTGACTTGAAAGATTTGATTGCTATCAGTCAGAATCTAGATTCCTTTACCTTTTTCTTCTTTTTTTAGAAACTGACTTAAGTTCATTGTCAACAGTTTCCCCTCCCCCCTGTGTCAGTATAGCTCAGGTCTAGCAGTTCCAGTTTTCCTCATTTCTTTTCTCTTTGAAAGATTTTTGTTTGTTTAGCTGGTTGTAATTGGTTGATTTGTGTAGTATGATTTTCAAAATACTAAGAGGTTAGCAGCTTCTACTGACTTCAATGTATAAGGCAAAATTGTATGAATAGTTCAACTTTGACTTTTTCTTTCCTCGGTTCACTGTTCCAAGGTGTGTAAGAAAGTATCAGGATTACTGTTTGTGTAATTTCATACTAATTATCACTATTTCTTATTACTTTAATGATTCATAACTGTTTGCAAAGCAAAAAAGTATCAAGTATTAGATGTACCAGAAATTAAACAGGTACATTTAAATAACTGTTGGCAGCATGTTATTGCAAAAAAATGAAAACCACAAAATGTTTCAAGAGCGGGGAAAATATGATGTAGAAACTCTGGTGAGTATTTGGATGTTGTCAAAGGGAATGTCTACACAGCAACATTATTTCAAAATAACTACTGTTATTTCAGAATAACTTAGTCCGTGTCTACACAGCAGGCAGTTATTTCAAAATAATGTCAAAATTCTGTCAAGCTGGAAGACTTCTTACTCTGACTTCTGTAAACCTCATTGTATGAGGAATAAGGGAAGTCAGAGGAAGAGTGCACTTTTTCAAAATAAGTGCTGTGTAGATGCTCCCTATTTCAAAATAAGCTATTTTGAAATAAAATGAGCAATTGACGTAGCTCAATTTGCATAGTTTATATCAAGTTAAGACCTGCAGCATAGACACACCCTAGATAAATAGGCAGTAGAAAATGTTTCAATATGCATAATTCAGAATTCATTTAAGAATTTTCAAGTCTATGGTCAGAATCAAAAATAGTTATTTAGAGGCCTGTAGACTAGTTTCCAATAAAATTTTAGCCTTCTTAATTTCCCAGAAAATTAACAGTTTTATGTGACAAAATCCAAGTTTCATGGTCAAATAAATGCATGCATGGAGAGCCAATACAGTGTAAAGTGTTGAATGATTATTGTTACTTTAATTGGGACATCACACATGACATGGGTACTGAGCCTAGAATCTGGACATATGTGGTGTTCTTTCTCTTCCTCTATTTTATACTCATAGCCTCTTCATCAGTAACATTTGATCAGGCATTCAATCCTTTGTTTTTTCATATGCCTGACACTTTACCCACAAAACAATATTATTTTTTCTTCAAGTTGAATAAATGTTCTATAGCTGAAGTGATCGACTTATCAGTATGATTAATTCAAGGTAGCTACTACTGTTTGTTTTATTTTTAGATTTCAGAATTTCAAGAAAAACACAGAAGACGTTTATTAGCATACTACAGAGGAAAGGTAAGTAAGCTTCACTTTGTGTGGGAACGAGGGTTGTTTTGCATGTCTTATTACTTTGGTTTATATTTAGAAAATAACTTTTGCTTGTACTTTCCGACTTACTAAGGGGCACCTGTTAGCACCTGTCATGCTGTTCGGAGGGGCTCACAACTGTGAAACCTCAGGGCAGACTGTCAGAAAATAGGGCAGACACTTCAGACTGGTGGTATAGTCTGTAATTAGTTTCACCAGGCCAGTAACAAATATGAACTGGTGTCATAGACAGTTCCCTTACACTTTCCAGTCCATCTTGCCACACAGAGAAACCAGACATTGTGCTGAAATGTTTACCTACTCCAAAATCAAGTCAAAATCAAATCAAGATAAATTCAAATCACTCTGGGTACATCTATACTTGCTCCCTAGTTTGAGCTAGGGATACAAATGTAGCCAACCGAAATTGCTAATGAAGTGGGGATTTAAATATCCCACGCTTCATTAGCATAATCTCGCCCACGTGTTATTTCAATCAACAGCTGATTTGAACCAAGAGGGTCCCCAGTTTAGTTGGTACCCTAGATTTTATACCAAAGACAGTGCTGGTAGCCATAACTAAGAAAAGGAAATTAGAGTTATTGAGAGGTCAAAGCATTTATAATATATGGACAGGTGACTCACAGTCTGTAATTCCAAATGGTAGCAGAGATGTAGTAATCTGCCAGTTAACGATTTCAAAATAATTTCAAAATAACAGATACCTTATTCCGAAATCTGTAAATCTCATTCTATGAGGAATAATGCCTATTCTGAAATAAGACGCCCCACTGTTGCTATTTTAAAATAGCCCCTCACCAGGGCCATTCTAAGTTATTCCTCTCCAGTGCCTCCTGGGGCTCTAAATCGAGATAGCATGTCTACATTAGAGAAGCCTGCCTTGGACTAATTTTGAGGCTTCCCTGCAGTGTAGATGTGCTATTCCAGAATAGCTGATATCAAAATAAGTATTCAGTGTAGACATAGCCAGAGTGACAGAGTTTAGGGCTATTTCCTTTCCTATAACTGCTACTTCCATCCACTTTGGGCCACAGCAGTGTCAGGCACCAGAAGCAGGGATACTGTGCCTATGTGTTCTCAGTGATTCATTTGCTGATACTCAAGGAGGAAGGAAGCTATTTCATTTGAATGTAGAGACAAAAGCTGGAATAGAGGACAGGAAAAGGAGTTGACTGGGACAAGGAGACTGGGACAGAGAAACTGTGCTTGGGAATTGAAGTGGGAAAGACTAGGACTGGCTAGGAAAGGAATCTGGGAGCTTGATATGGGAAGACACTCTTGGATTAGTTGGTCAAAGAGATTGGGACTGGGAGTTGGTGAGAGAAGTGAGGGAAATGTGAGTCAGTTGGCTTAGCGAGAACAGTGCAATTGGATGAAGAGGTTGGGGGAAGACAGACTAGGTGGATAAGAAAACAGTACTAGGAACAAGTAATGGGCAAAGAGAGATGAATCTGAAAAGGAGCTTGAGTGTGGGATAAGAAGTGGAACTGGCTGGGCAAAACAACTGGGACAAGGGGCCATAGAGAGGGTTTAGGGAGACAGCCTAAGGAGGGAGAGGCCAGTTAGCATGAGGGAAGAGGCAGATCAGAATATGAGCAACTGGGGCTAGCTGACTAAGGATACAGGGAGAAAGGAGATAAAGTGGGAGTGAGGAAACTAGTGGGCTGGCAAAGGAGACAGTGACTGAGTATTGAAAGTGGACAAGAATGAGAGACATTGGCAGTCAGACAGGGGGAGACCAAGACTGGCAGGGGAAGGAGAAAGAAAAGCCTATGAAACCCACAAGCATCATGTATGTCTCGTCTCCCTGTGTGCTGGTCATATGGAATGTGACATTCCCCAGGGTACAGTCTGGACTGCTGAACTTCTGTGTCCTCTAACTCTCTAGCCTGGCGTACCTTTTATACTGCCTTACTATCAGAACAGCAACGTGATATGATTGTGATGGAAAGCTTAAACTACATGATAACACTCAGTCAGTAAGTGGTGCTGTTTGAAGAGATCTGTAGCACATTTTCACTAAATGCTAGAGTCTGGAGATAGTCTATATTATTATTTTATTTTATTTTACAGTTAAATTATTGTTGCTAGCATCCATTTTGCTTTGTCTCTGTGTGGCTAAGCTGACTTGGTGTCAACAGAACTGCAAAATTTCCTCAACATTCCTTATGCATGGAATTTTTATCTTTGATGGACCATCAGAAGGAATAGTTTGCATGATTTTGCTAAACTCCACAAGGAGAATGGGAAGAGGCAGGTTAGAGTTCTAATCTATGCCCCAAGCAAGGAAACCAAACACACCTTTTAAATAACTTGCCTTTGGAGAGGAGAGCCACAATTATAATTATGCTGTAGTGCTGGCTAAATTAGAGAATAAATGTATACTTTGCTGTTAATGTGGTTTATGAGCAAGTATGTTTCTAGGAGTGTGCCAAAAAGAAGTGGTGAATCTAGGGAATCTTCTATAACAGGCTTGTATGACAAGCTGGGCTTTCTGACAGCAGGAAGACAATTATATCTCCTCCCTTCCCCAGCCCTCCAGGCAGGCAGAATCTGCAAAGACATGAAGACTAAAGTATCTTCATGAAATCATTGTCTTGCATTGGTCTGTTAGGTCTGCAAAGAATCTCTAATAATAACTGTTCTACTAGTCACCCTAGAAGAGGCTCACAGAAGATTATTGGGAAAACAGAGGACATCCATTACCCAAATGTAGTGGATTAGTTTTCTAGATATATTAAAATAATATATATGCAAGATAACGCTATCACATATTGCATGAAGAAATTAAAGAGCATATTCCCCTATTCTGTAATTTCAAAACAACTAATGATGGACAATGGACCACAATCACCACAGCTGAATTTATGCCATTACAAACTAAATGTTATTTTGAACCATCAGTAGCATTCCATATTACCTGCAAGCACTTGGGGTATGTCTATACTGCATGCTTATTTCGGAATAAATTAATCTGGAAGAAATACTCCAAAATAGTTTATGTCAAAATAGCGCATCTACACAGAAAATGCCCATTGAAATAGTGCTGAGGTATTTCAAAATACTGTGTCCACAGTCACTGGACACTGAATCACATTTAAGGCCACCCCGAAGCACTTCAGGCAGGGCATCAGGACAGCAGTTACTTCCTGGGGTTGCTGCCTGAGGCTATTTATCTGAGGCTCAAGCTTAAAAGGAACCCCCTGAATCTAAGGTTCTTTACCTTTGCCTACCTCATGGAGGGACAGTAAAGCCTTTCCTTTGCCTGCTGTAGTTGCCCTTGCGGACACTGCAGATCTCTAGCCATGGAGCCGGAGCTGTCTCCAAGCAGTTGACGGCTCTTACAAATTGTGCTGCACCTCCTGTGGTCTGCCTTTTAGGCCCTGCAGGAACACAATCCCCAGCTGACTGAAGGGAACTTCCTCATCCATCTGCAGACATTGCTCATGCAGTACGACCCCACCCGCCCTCCCCTGCACACCGTGCACCACCACTTCTGGCATCTGGACACCAGTTCCGATTGGTGGGACTGGATCAATCTGTGGGTCAGCGGTGAGAAGACCAGCAGTGGCTCCAGAATTTCTGCATGCGGAAGGACACCTTTCCGGAGCTGTGTGAATGGCTTGTCCCTGCCCTCATGTGACAGGACACCCACATGTGACCATCATCTTCTCCAGAAGCAGGTTGCCATTGCCATCTGGAAGCTCACCATGCCAGACAGCTACCAATCCATTGGGAACCAGTTCAGTGAGGGGAGATCGACTGTTGAGGCCATGTTCATGCAGGTATCGTGCTCTCCAGCTATTGTCCCAGGAGTGAGGAGAACTGCTGGAGTGGGGTTCCCTAGGGAAGGGATGATGGTGGTGGTGGAAGTCCCCTCCCCAAGCGTTTTTCAGTCCCGCCTTCACAAAGCTCTGACAGAGGATGAGGTAAGTAGGAGGTTGCTCCTGGTATGTGGAAGTGGATTCGTCTCAGGGACCTCTCGAGGGCCCTGCACTTCTGTAATTATCTGTTTGTTTATTTGTTTATCTCCTTCTACAGGTGGTGCAGACCATCCACACCATCTTGCTGTGCAGGATCAGCTTGGGCCACGGGGACCCCATCATCACCGGCTTTGCCGCCATGGGCTTCCCCAACTGTGTGGGCTAGTGATGGCACCCACATCCCCATTCAGGCCCTCAACCACCAAGCATCTGAGTACATTAACCAGATGGGGTACTTTTCGATGGCTGTCGTGAACCATCACAGCCAGTTCACGGACAACTACATAGGGTGGTTGGGGAAGGTACATGGCACATGTCTCTTTTGCAATTCCAGCCTCTTCCAGAAGGTATACACCTTTTTTCCCTGACCATCAGGGTTGGGGACATGGACATATAGTGGGTCTATATGGGGGGGGGTGCAGCATACCCTCTGCTCCTCTGTCTAATGAAGCCCTACACTAGACACCTGGACCAAAGCAAGGGACGCTACCATGCCAGGCTCAGAAGGGCCTGCATTGTGTTGGAAGGTGCCTTTGGGCATCTCAAAGAGAAGTTCCATTGCCTCCTCAACCACCTGGATGTCGGGAAGCAGAATATCCCCCAAGTGGTGGAGGCTTTTTGTGTCCTTCACAATATTTGTGAAAGTAGGGGGCCAGAGGCTGATTGGATTGGCAGGGCCTTAGAGCAGCTGTACATGGCTGCCATCCAGCAGTCCCATCGGGGCTGTGCACATCTGTGAGGCCCCTGAGAGGGAGAGTTTCACACAAGGACCCCAGTGACACTCTCCCCTGGGCCTGCCCACAATCTATCTGTGCATTGCTCCTCTTTGCCTATCCTCCCACATCCCTCTCTTCCTCCCTTCCCTTCCCCTGCAAAGACAATAAATTACACCATTTATTTACAAAAAATAAACTCTTTGTTTTTAATTGGGATAAATGGGACTGGGGAAAGAACTTTGGAGGAGGGAGTTGGAAGGGGGAGGAG